GTCTGAGGCTGCCAAGCCTCATTTGCTGCCATAATTGTCATAACTCAATAAGAGCCTCGATTGATAGCACGCTAAACATTGCGCAACAACTGGTTACATGTCAGAGCCAGGCGCCTTGTGTCTGGCTCAAGTTACTGCTGAGCTTTTCTGCTCGTTAGCAAGATGATGACTTTCTTTATCCCACACTTCCCAAGTTCCCTCATTCGGCTTCTGTGATCAGAGATGGTTCCCTTCCCCCTCAGCTTGGTACACCTCCACCAGCGCCCCATTTCCCTGCTGTTTGCACACTGCTTTCAATCCACTGGGGGCAAAACCCTCCCTGGGCCCTTCCAGGTCCTGCTCTAATGCAGCAGCTGCTGTTCTTCCCAATTTCTTTCTTTCATTACAATCCCTGTTTCTACATACTCTCCAATCCCCCTCGATTACTCTACCCAGGTCCTTTGCTTCCTTTAATCTGTGTATCATCGGGAGAAAATACAGACATTCTCGCTCTGATTAGCAAAAGACCTTGGGAGGTGCAAACAAGTTCAGCAGACATGGAGGGAGAAAACCAAAAGATTGTAACTGTGCCAGACTGAACCTCTCGACATGATCACGAGACGTCTGGCTTGTACACCTGGCATGGCTGTGAGCAGATGCTATGAAGGTCAAGCTGACCAGTGGCAAGCCCTGCTGAACCTGAGGTGTCTGACAGAGGTGAGTGGCGAGGAACCACAGGTCCATGTGTGACAAAGGAGCAGAGGGTGGGCTGCCAAATAATGGAAGACCCCATCAATTGTGCACGGAACCCGCTTTCTGTTGTCCGGGCCAGAAACAAATGGGGGAGATGACCTGTGCAGATGGTGAGTGTGGGAATGAAATGTTTCTGCATTTAAGAACTAGTAAGGTGAGTGTTTTATGGTCTGTGCTGTCATCTAGTGACGTTTATTGGTACTGACAAGTCTTTCTTCATTCCAATAAAGGGGGGTTATTAATAATTCTCACCACTTGTCCTGTAGCTAAACTTTCCATATTTATGCATGCTTAGTAGTTAAGATGAAGTAATAAGTACAAAAATTTCAGCTTCTGTATTATAGGCTTTTCTGTTTTGCCAAGAGGCCCTCAGCAAAAGACCAACCTAGGGCCTCTACATGAGGTTAAATGTCCCACTTTTGGATTCAGAGGAATGCAACAGGTACTCCCCTACATCTTTCCTTCCAAACTTACCTATATCTAAGGACAGCAGGTTATCCATGTGGGCTCCTTGGGCTGTGCTTCTGGCTCAGGCTGGAGAGGCTCAGGATGCCCAGGGATGTGTTACCTCCAGACATCCCAGTGCTCAGTACTGTTATAGAACATGGTTGATAAGAGCTGTGAGACGTTCCAGATCTGCTCTGTGACCTGGGATGAGCACCAGAGGTCCCTGGCAGCCCAGCACAATGTCCCCAGGCAAATGTCACCCCAGGGTGGGATGTGGCTGATAAGAGACAGGTGGCCACGGGGCGGTCATTGTCCTGACATGGCCAACGCGGGTGGGAGGAGCAGGGACAAGCACAGCAGCGGCAGGGCCATGCTGGGCTCTGCTCAGCTCTGAGGGGCTCCTGGCCGTAGTCACTGCTGCTAGCAGTGTGGGGAAAAGCTCTGCTGTTCCCAGAGCTTTACCCAGCAGGATGGCAGCATGGAGCTCCATGTGACAACAAGAGATGAACCAGGAATGAGAGAGCTGGAAGTGCAGGTACAGTGTCAGGAACGCAGTGGATAAACCACAGTGCTGGTCCCAGTGTGTCAACAGCCACAAACCACCTCGCTGGATGACCAGGACACCACGTCCCAGTCATACCACACCACAGCATTGGGACTACACGTTACCCCATGGGATGGGGAGAGAGCACTCATGAGGGACACTGGGAGATCCCTAGTGGAGGAAGACATAGGATGATAACTTTTGGTGTGAGGGTAGCACAAGTAGCCCTGAGATGTTATAGGATCTCCACTGTTGGAGATATCTGTATCCTTGGCTGGACACAGTCCTTGGACACCTGCTCTAGGTGACCCTGCTGGAGCATAGGGGGAGCAGACCATCTCCTGATGGTGTTGGGAGGTACCAGCAACATACACATGGAGGCTGCATGTAGTGCTGGGGAGCTACCATAGCAGTGCAAGAGCTGGGGGATGGCAGTGCTGGGCAGGAAGGGGTGAGAGGCCCCAGGTACCTCCACTCCTCACCACCCTGCTCCATGCGTGCCCAGGGATATGGCAGCATCACAGCCAGCTGGGGCTAAGGACAAGGGTGGGCTCAGATGAGGACAGGGGCACAGAGCCAGGGACACAGCACAGCTGAGCCCAGTAGGCCTGAAGCCAAACCCAGCCTAGCAGGAGGGAGCAGAGGAACAGTGGAGCGGGGACTTTCCTTGACTCTATAAAAAGCCTCCACAGAGCCGGGCAGCAGTGGGACGCAAGGAGAGCGGAGGCACAGGGCCATGGAGCAGTACTTCTTGGCCACGCAGAAGATGGAGCAGGAGGTGATGTTCCCCAGCCTGCTGCGAGGGGTCTTCCCGCAGGACGGAGCCGACCCAGCCGCTGGCGGCCCCGCGGATCTCTACGAGCGCTACCAGCTCCTCAAGGCCATCAAGCCCGTGGTGGAGCGAGGCCTGGCCTCCGTCACTGATCACAGTCCCACCAGCAATGCTGACGCCGACACAGCCCCAGATGATGGCATAGATGGGAATCTGGAGGAACGGCTGTCCCACCACATGAATGGCTTGCAGCAGGTTCTGACCGACCTCACTAAAAACACCAAAGCTCTCACCCGGAGGTACAGCCAGATCCTGGAGGAGATCAACCTCGGTGAAGGTCAGAGCAGCTCATGAGCCTGCATGCAGAGAATCCAAGGTAGGAGCATGGGGAGATGCAGAGGCAAAGCAAACTGGTTGGGGGGTAATTTACATTGTCTTATTGCTCCATCAACTGGGCGTCTTTCCAATGTTTGCATCATTTCCGAAAATCCCAGGAGTTCTGAGTCTCTGTCCTTTGCACTTTGTTGCTCAACAGATTCTGCTGAGTTTGTCTTTCTCAATTACCCATTGGCACAGGCTGCGTCACTGAACAAGGGTCGCTCTGTGAGTTCCATGCTGATCCCAAGACTCTCCTGCTTGCAGCACAGGCAGTGTCTGGCTGCTGCAAAAGATCCCAAACCATCCTCATGGAGTAAAGGGCCTTTTGGCATTTTTGGTCTCCAAATTTGATATACCATCTGCCAACAGCTCAACTACCTCAATCCTCCCCCAGAAAGCCAGCCCAGGCTCTGTGCTGGTGAGACTTTCACCCCTGGGATTCCATGGCTCCTGCACTCCACCATAGACATTGGCTCAAGGTCAAAACAAGCTCTTACGGTTCTTGCAGTGAAATAGAGCACAGAAGGGATGTCCTACACAAAAATGTCAGCTCTCATTTTGGAGGATATATGACCAGGAATTAGGACATTACAACCAAACTGTGTCCATTCTCCCCACAGGGTGATCTGACATTTGCAGCCCAGTGGCAGCTTTACTCCTGTGCCAAGTCCCACCGAGGAACATCTTTTGTGACCAGCACAGAGCTTGACTGTACCATCCAAGTTGCCACACGGCCAATCCTCCCAGCAAACCTCATTGCTTTGTTTCACCTCCATTTCCGGGGGATTGCCTTGCAGCAGGCAGGGCAGAAAAGAGTGTTCTCTGTTACTGCTTCCTAGAAGGCATCTGTAACCTTGAAACAATGCTTTTGTTCTGCATGTGCCTAAACCACCTCCCCACTGGTTTCTTTGATAATGTCACCAGTTCCCGAAGTCAATGATCTGAAATAAAATGCAAAGCCTTGAGAAATGTAATGTGTGTTTTCTACAAGCCATTACTTTTGCAGAGCTACTGTCCTCTAGCCCATGATGACAAGGACTACCTTGGCCACCAAGGTCAAACTCTAGTGCAGGGAAGTGATCTGGGTTTCTCCTTTGGAGAGTGGGAATTGGGTTTGTGCTGGGATAGTTGTTCCCAAAACTCTCTGGCTCTCACATTTTGCAAAAGCTTGGAACAATCCCGGTCTTGAGCCACATGCTGGGAGCCTGTCCTCCAGCATCTTTCCTCTCCTTCCTATCTCCTCCTCCTGGATCACCAGCTTGTTCACATCCCAACTCAACCTTTACGTCCCAACCCAATCAGTAGCTGTGCATACCTTCTCCTATCCCACACTCATCCAGCCCTTCGTGCCATCTCCATCATATCATCTCCACCACATTGTGCCATCATGCCGTCTCCGCCACAGACAGCCCTGGGGACAATTCTGCCTCCTCTCCATTTGGTCCCCACTGGGGCTGTGGCACCCTCTGGAGCCAGGCAGAGAAGAGAGCGTGGAGATTCTCTGATATGTTGAATGGGAAGGCAAGGGCTGTGCTCACCCTCAGTTCCTTACTGGGCAGTGGTTTGGTGCTCTTTGCACAGGCTGTGCCCCATCAGAGGTGACTCTCCTCTCCCAGATCCATCACTGGAAAAGTGCTACTGAACTGGGCACTAGGGGGAGTCATCCCCGTGCCTCTCTGGGCCTCGTCAAAAGTAATCCAACTGCTGAAACACAGATGTTTTGGTTGAACAAACCCTGGTACTCCATCAGTTTTCAGTTTTGATTAAAGAAAACAGAGAACTGACGGCATCTGTAAAAAGAGGATTGCAACTGCACCCGGGGCTGTGGACTCTGTTTGCACTGCATGTGCTCTCATGTGCATCCTGCTCTACTGGGGTTCCTTAGGGAGAGACATTTCCTGTAAGAAGCCTGGTACTACCCAAGGACAAAGTAAGGTATCTACAAGCTGCTGCTAAATTGTTCCCAAGCACTCATCAGAGAAACAGGGAAGGAGTGTATAGAACCAGAGCTTATTATTAGATTGTAGGCATGAAGTATTTCTGTAACAGTGTGAGCACTGGGAAATACCCCTGTTCTACCCAGTCTGAGCTGCTATCGTGTAATAAAAAACGAGCAAATCTTGAACAATTTACATCTCTTTCTTCCACGTGTGAAGTTGACTCAACAAGAACCCTCAGATCACATTCTGTGGGACTGCTCTCCAGACTCTCATCCCCCAGTCTGCACATACAGCCAGGGCTGCCCTGTCCCAGGTGCAGAATCTAGCTCTTGCTCTTGTTGAACTTCATGCGGCTGGTGACTGCCTAGCTCTCTAAATTGGCAAGTTAGTGGGAGCCACTGAGCATAGAGCTGAAGAGGACAGCAAGCATGGCTTCCTCACCAGATCCTTTTTTCTAGCACTCCAGGAGCTTATTTCCACAGTGGATACCCAAGGATTTCCTCTTGACTGAAGATGCAGTCACACAGTATCCCAAAGGTACACAGTCAAAGTCTGTTTTCTCTTTCTTTCCTTATTTCTGTGTGCCTAATTTACAGAACATGGTCTTATTTCTCAACCTTGCTTTTCCATTACCAGCCCCACGTTTCCTCTCCTCCACCACCTGAAAGAAGTAGGCTGTAGCCTCCATGAGACCAGGCATAAACCCACTGGCTGGGTTGCTCTTCTCCATAGACTACACCAGAATGTTTTTCTCTTCTGCAGATTGTCCCTTTCCTGGCTAGACAGACAACATTAGCCTTAACTTAGACTAGAAACAAGCCAAAGTCCCTCAAGATCCAGCTGACTGGATCCATGTCAATATGTTTAATAGGGTCACTGGATGAGAAAGAGCTGCAAATTTTGGAATTCAGCTCTGCCCACACCTTCCATGAAGGCACATCAAGGACATGAGGATAGAGAGAAAGAAGGGAGTATGGTTGAATCTAGTTTGGCTTCTTGCTCCAGGAAGGTCTACGAGCCAATTTGAATGTGATATAAAAAGAAGAAAGAAGTCAATGAGCATGATGATCAGGAGACTAATGTTTCTTAGGAATGTGGACACTGATGGCTTGTTGGGTGTTTTACAGATGGGAATATGAGTGGTTGAGGCTGTACTCTGGGTATGCCTATCCCCATTCATTCACTGGGAATGAAGGGAGGTACTCAGCTGTCTTGGCTTTTGGTGTCCTGGAGCTTGTCCGAAGGCACATGCTGAAGCCACCCAGGCACACAGAGCTGGGTGGAGCAGCTAAATGGCTGGGAGGCCCTGGGTGGAAGTGCTTGTGGTGTTTGCACAGTGGATGGCTGTTTGACTTAAGAGTAGCTCCTGAAGTGCAAAGCCTCCTGCCCAGATGCAGTGGTGCAGTTTCTCAGCAGATGCTGCTGGATTTGTTTTTTGGCTGTGCTATGCCTCATCCTGCTAGGCTAGAAGTTTGCCTGCATTCAAGTTTCCCCATGCTGGAAATATACTTGTGCAACCTGGTGTAGGGAACTTGCTTTGGCAGGGGGTTGGACTCGATGATCTCTGGAGGTCCCTTCCAACCCCACAATTCTGTGATCCCGTGATTCTTTGATTCTGTGAAATTAATGGCTGTACTTAGCAAATGTCCAGGGTGTGTCCATGCAGGGTGCAGTCTGATGAATATGGTAAAGCCGTATCAAACTCATGGAGAAGAGAAGACTGTGAAGAGATGGGAAAGCACGGCAAGCTCTGGAGCAAACTGCTTCAACAGGAACCTTGGTAGGTAATGCTGCTCCAATGCAGGGATCTGTTTCAGAAACCCTGTTAACACTGGCTGTACCCAGGAGCTTTTCTCAAAGGAGAGATGATAGTAAATAGTGTCCGAATAAGAGCTTAGAATAGTTGTGCCTCTCCTCTTTGCCAGCCCATTACTGCTGTTTAATATTACCTGGCTTGTTCCCCAGCTTTCCACCAGAATCTCCTCCACTGAGACCCCTTGGAGCAGGTGGGGGTCCTTTACACCAAATTATCCTCACTCCCAGCAGTAATAACACTAGTGGCTGTAATATGACACAGAGGATGGAAATCAGATCTGGATCATTGCCTCCATGTTCCAGGCAAATGGACCTAAACTAAGATGTCAGACACAAGGAAATCAAAGACAAACAGGAGCTGCTCTGTGCTCCCTCTCAGCTGTTTCCCCCATGTTTCCCCAAGCTTCTCATTTCCCTTTCTGATTTAGCAGCTGCTTTCTGTAACCATCTAATTCTTTTTTCTTTTTTTTTTCCCATTGGATTTAATATATTTATTTGTACTGGGGCACAAAACGCAAATATGAATGTTGTTTATCTAACTCTCACAAATAGAAGCTGCCAATCCAATGTGCTAATAAATCTGTTAAAAATACTGGTATGGACAATGATGTTTTCCAATATGATGCATTTACCAGCATAAATCTGTTCCAGTGCATTGTTATCTACATATTTATACAATTTTCAAAAACACAAATTTATTCCCCACAAAGGCATTGTCAAGTTACTCATTCTTCAGCAGGCACAAAGTGCTCAGCTTGTAATAAAGCTATTCTTGTGACTCATATCATGGTTGTTTGCACATGGCTCGGGTACAGGGTAATCCTTTTAAGCAAAGGAAGGAAGCCTGTAAGAGCTTTTACTCTTGGAGATGTCCTTGGAAATGGGGACAGAAGGAGACCTATTTTTGAAATGTCTACAAAAGCAATGTCAGAGAAAGAAACCACTTCAAGAACAGGCAAGAGGCTTGAAGCATTATTGTATGCATGGAGCCAGTAGAGGAATGGAGAAAACCTCATGGCCCCTGTTGCTCATCCTCCTCAGGTTCCATGGCCCATTTTGGCAGCCAGCCTCTCCAATTGGTCATGGTGACCTTCTCTACGAGACGAGAAAGGGATCTATGAAGGTGACACAGCTGCTGGTTATAGCAACACTTCGAGCTTCCTGCCAACCTACTGGCTAATCTCTCCTCATTCATAGGGTGCCCCAAAAATCACAGCAATTCCATGTTTTCTCATTCTAGCTCACTCCATTGATAGGAAAAGCAACAGTGTTCTTCTAGATGAAAGGCAATGGCAACTACAGAAAACAAACACCAGGACCTTTACCCACCACTGCATCTTGTTTCCCCCTTGGCTATCCCCCAGATTCCCAAGTTCTCAGATCAGCACCTTGCTGATTCTTCTTGATCTACTCAGTAAACTTCTTCAGAGATCTCCTTTCCTGCGCAGCAGCAAGCAGGTTGGTCCCCAAAAGACCGTCAGTGCATGAGACAGCTTTCAGAGACTGAAAGGATGAGGGATTTCAGGGATCCGAGTCAAGTGGTAACAATAAGGCCCAACAGAGACCCTGGGTAGAAATTCTAGCTTAATACAAAGCAAATTTCATTCCCCAAAGGGAGAAAGCCAACTAATGTCCCAGAAACAGCACAGTGGTGGCCAAGGCCTCCCAGGGAGCGCGGAGCAAGAGCCACAATGGGGTTGTGGGAATCCCAGGACAGGGTTGCCCAAGGCTATGGAGACATTCATGCTTTTGGCTTTTCACTTCTCTCCCAAGGGAAGAATGGAATTTGAACCAGCCTGGGTTAGCTGATACCAGCAGCATGGAGTGCTGAGAGCCCTCCAGCCCCCTCCGGAGCCATGATCTCATTTTTGCCTTTCAGTGTTTGCTTCCCACCCACTGGTTTCCTCAGCATCACTTTGACCATGGGGTAAAAGAAGGAGTGATGAACTAGAAAAGTGACTGCTTCCCCTTAGTGCAGGCCCAGAGGGCTTTGATGCAGAGAGATAACTCCCTGCAAAACTTTCCATGGCTGGGACACCATACAGATCAGATGTGTGGTCCCAGTAATCCAGGCTGCCATCTCTGATGTGACTGCCAAAAAGAAAGGCACAAAGGCCCAATGGGTAGGTAGTGGTATGCCAATGGCTTGGGCTGTGAGAAAGCTTTTCCTAAGGCCCCTTCTTAGATCAGATGACTATGGTATTTTAAATTAAATCCTTACCAAAAAAGAGAGAAAAAAATCCAACTGGGAGTAATTTGCATAGCAGGAATGAAAAATGCCATCTTCAAGCAAGTGGGATTAAGAAGTTCCAGAAGAAGCCTGAATAATAACAATCAGATTTTCCACATAGATGGCAACTTCCAGCCAAATATCTCAAAATGCCGATTCTTTGCAAAAGTGGCCGGGATGTAAAAAAGGAGTGAGAGTGGGGGAACCTGTCCAGTATGTCCATCAGACTGAAGAAATGGCTGTGGTGGGCCTCGTAGGGTAGAAGAGTTGTAGATGACAGCTAGCAGCTATTCCTTGTGCTGATGTGGCAAGGATCTGCATTGCAGCATTGAATGTTTGTTCTCAACCACCACCATTCTCCTTTGATTGTAGTACGGGGAAATTGTCCACACTCTGTCCATCCATCCAATTCTGCAGCTGCAAAAGAAAAGGTTGTCATCTCCAGCACTGAAGACATGCCGTGTCAAAAAAAAGTATGGGTTCCACCTCTGTCAGTCATATGTAGGATACTTTTGGATGAGCAAGATGAATGAATGGAATTTGCAGGAATTAAAGACTAAGAACACTCAGATCTTCCAATTTTTTTTCCAATAAGTGTTCATTTTTAAAGATGTGTCTGAAGAAGGGCAACTAGCCTGTGAAAGGTCTGGAGCACAGTCTTATGGGGGAGCAGATGAGGGAACTGGGATTGTTCACTCTGGAGAAGAGGAGGCTCAGGGGAGACCTTATTGCTCAACAAATCCCTAAAGGAAGTAGTGGTGAGGTGGGGATCCAGGTAAAAGTGATAAAAAGAGAGGTGATGGCCTCAAGTTGCTCCAGGGGACATGAGGTTGGATATTAGGAAAAATTTCTTCTCAGAAAAAAAATGATCAAGTGCTGGAAGAGGCTGCTTAGGGAGGTGGTGGAATCAACTTCCCTGGAGGTTCGAGAACTGTGGAGATGTGGCACTAAGGGACATAGGAGGTATGGTGGGGATGGATTGGGCTTGTACTAGATGATCTTAGAGGTCTTTTCCAATCTTGATGATTCTATGAAATGATTCTATGAAGATTTTTTGGAAGCATGTCTTAGTTTCAGCTGGGATTGAACTGTTTTCTTTGTATGATGCTATGTTTTGTTTCTAAGAGAAAAGCAATGTTGATGACACACCAGTGTTTATAGTTGCTGCTAATCAGGTTGAATAAAGCCAAGGCCATTCTCAGTGAAGGGCCTAAGGAACTGGGAGAGAACAGAACTAGGAGAGATGACTTAAACTGGCCAAAGGGATATTTCATATCATATGACATCATGTATTTGAAGGGGGTGGGAGTTGATCTCACTCTCTTCTTCTACCTGGGAACCAGCTGGGGCTGGTGAGCAATTGCTTGTGCATCACTTGTTAAATACATTCATATGTATAAATATTTGTCATAATTATTATCCTTTTCTCTATCTTAGTAAATAATTCTATCTCAGTCCACGAGTTCTAACTTCCAGTGGGTGCTCAGCCATCTGGGGCTTAAACCACAACACTAATTCCCTTTTTCCCTTTTGTTGCTGGTAACAGGAAGCAGCCTGAAATGAAAGACAGCAAGGCTGGTTGAGGAGATAACATTTTTCATGAGACCAACAGATAAAACTGGGGAAAAAAAAAAAAAGCACACGAGTAAGCTAAAAGAGAAGCTGACAAAGAAATCTTCGTGTGCCCCAAAGCCCACATGGTTTTATCCATCTGTACCAGCAGAGATTCAGGACTGATTTTATTTACCCTGCACAAATTACTTAGTGCCTGGAGACTGCATTGGCAATGAAGAAAATAACATCACCTTGCTTGTATGGCCAGCACCCTGCTCTGACGCTGCCAGGCACAACAGTGGGATAGGTGAGATGGTTTGGGACATACATCACTAAAAGAGCAGCATGCAGATGCTAACAAGCATTGCAAGCGTTTACAGGTTTTAATTCAACTCAGGCAGAGGTTGTGGGCCTCCTCAGGAAAGCTGGGCCTCCTTTGGAAGGGCTGATTCACCTCTCACACATCTGCAGGTGAGTGTGTGATGGCAGCCAGCCCAAATCCGCCCTGCTGCTTGCTGATTGCCAGAAAACTAACGAGCAAACAGTTCCGCTTCCGTGCTGCTCCCTCCCCTCCGTCCAGACCTGCAGCCTGCACTGTGCTTGGGACAATCTCAAGTTTGAGGGGCAGCAGCTGGGCAAGAGCCTGACCCACTGAAGGAGAATCTGCTGAAAGAGGACTGGAGCACAACGAGGGGAGATGAGCATTTCCTCGGAGCAGAAGCCCATAGGGAAACAGGTCACTGGCAGCCTACATATGGTGAGTACAGTGCAGGTTTGGGGGTATGGCTCTTTCTTCTGGGATCAGAGCATTCCCTTTGGATTAGTTACAGCATTTTTTTTTTTTTTTTTTTTTTTTGGTCCATCTGATACTTTGAAGGCACAGGGGCTTGCCAGATGTGTGAGCAAGGCAGGAATTCTAGGTGAAAAGCTGTGTCTGACTCCAACCTGTTTCCACCAGCCTGGTTAAAGCAAAGCAATGTCCCTTGGAGGCACACAAAGCCACAGCAAACAACTTCACTGGTTATTTTTCTCCTTTGCAGACTATGAAATTAATTTGATGTTAACTTTAATTTGCCAGATCCCTAAGTAAAACCCTTCTGTGTGTTCAGAGGTTTTCCAGTGGTTTCCAATGATGAGTAATTTGCTCTGTGTTTAAGATGTGCAGAATTAGCAGCTGGGAGCAGTGGTTTTTCTAGCTTTAAGGAAAATTAGTGTTAACCACAAGACAAGGGGCCCATTGCTGAGCAGAAATCAGACAATGTTTTACTTTTCCTCCCCTGGATCTATTACTAACTGGTTTGCCTTGACCTTCTATCTTAAATAAAGAGGCTCAAAAGCATGAGACTCCTGACAAATGATGCCTGACAAGGGAAGCTGTTGTTATCACTTGGACTAATAGCAGATTTTCTAACTGATAGGCTTTGCTGCAGAAACAGCTTTGGGCCATGCTCTTTAATGGGTAGAGATCACTAGATACTGTCAGACAGAAACGTTTTATGTTCTCTTGGCCCTGGTGCAAATAAATGCCCTGGAGATGAAGCCACCTACATTAGAGCAAAGCAGTATTAGAGCAAAGCAATATTAGGGCAAAGCAATATTCCATCGGGGTCTTTGTGCTGAATCTCCTGTTGTGTCTTGGCTTCCCTACATTGTGAACTCATTGCAGCTAAATCTTACAGTTTGGCGTCATTTAAAAGACATAATCTCCCTCTGCTATGAGTTGTCTGTTCCTATCCCCTCATTTTCCTAGCTCTGGTGCTGGTTAAATCCTCCGTGAGCCACCTCAGCTTGCTAAAATGAAGGAGAAGCTGGCTCAAGGTAAGAAGCAGAGACAAGGAAAGACAGGAGAGAGGGCAGCAGGAGCCTCCTCTTTGTCCTGGTGTAACAATGAGATCAGCTCATGTCATCTCATCCCGTGGGTACATATCCATAGGGCACCACAGGCTGGATCCAGCTAAGCTCTTAGGTACACACTGAAGCATGTGACTGGTAGCACTGAGGCAGATCACTGTGTGATCAGATCCAAGAAAGAACAGGTGAGCTCCTGGAGAAAAGGGTTGTTTATTGACTCAAGCCTTCCCAGTGGCAGGTGCGGTCCTGGCCAGGCATATGACTTGCATTACTGGACTGGCTGAGTGAGGGAAAAGAACTGCCTTATTTCTTCCTTCTCCTCCTGCTCTCCCAAGTGCTACAAAAATGCAAAGATGGCTGATAAAATTCTTCAGCATTGAACTAAGTCAGGAATGTCATCAGAAGTGACACCAGGTTCAGGTCTCTGAGCATTCAGGCCTCTCATGTTTCAAATAGCAGTGGCATTAATGTACAGTGAAATAAAATAAATAGAGATAAAAATCCAAATGTTAAATCTTAGTTCTTAAATCCACATCAGTTGCACAAAGTATTTTGTCCTGTCCCTGCAGGTGTTCAATGCCAGGCTAGATGGAATCCTGGGCAACGTGATCTAGTGCTTGATCTAGCGATCAGCAACCCTGTCTGCAACAAAAGAAGTTAGAACAAGATGATCTTTGAGGTCCCTTCCAGCCTAAGCCATTCTATGATTCTACAATTCTATGATTTTCTTTACTATCAAACGCATAGTTAAACAGATATTGCACTCCACCTCAGATACCAGCAAAACGACCCTTTCCTATGTCCTAAAGGTGTGGTGAAGATGAATCCATAATCCAAATATCCATGCTTCTGCTATCTGGATACGAGGGCCAAATATAAATATCCTGCATCTGCTTTTAGTAATACATGGTGTGGATACTCCCAGCTGTCCTCCATGGGAGGGTGGACAGGCGCTGGAATGGCTGCCCAGGGAGGTGGTGGAGTCACCAACCCTGGAAGTGTTCAAAGAACATTTAGATGTTGTGTTGAGGGATGTGATTTAGTGAGAACTATTGGTGATTGGTGGATGGTTGGACTGGATGATCTTGTAGGTCTTTTCCAACCTTGGTAATTCTATGATTCTATGATTCTATGACTCATCCTGCTTTTTGTACTGCCATGAGTGTTCCCAGCTGCAATTGTATTTTTTCCCTTTTTCTTGATGCTTCCATGTTGGCAGCCTCCAATGGCTTATATGTGTGGTTTTTCTCCCCTTGTGACATCTGTAGTTGCCAGCAATCGTGGAGCTGAATGTCGGCGGGGAGATGTACACAACAACACTGAGCACCTTGAAGAAACACCCTGGTTCCAAGCTGGCAGAGATGTTCACCGGCCAGCACAAACTCAGGACAGACTCAAAAGGGAGGATCTTCATTGACAGGCCGGGGACCTACTTCAAATACATCTTGGAATATCTGCGCAGTAACCAGGTGCCCACCCAGTGCATCCAGGATGTCTACAAGGAGGCTTTGTTCTACGACATCGAACCCTTGATCAAGCAGCTGGAGGACTCCCCTCAGATTTTTGGGGAACAAGTGGCAAGGAAGCAGTTCCTGGCCCGTGTGCCCAACTACAGTGAGAACATTGAGCTGATGATCCGCATCGCACGGGCCGAAGCAGTCGCGTCCCGCTACTCCAGCGTCATCATATGTGTTGTCAAAACGGAGGAAGACGTGGCCAGGTGTCAGGATGCCTTGAACAGCTTGGACATGGATAAAAAATCCGTGGTGAAATTTGGCCCCTGGAAGGCAGCTCCAAGTATTTATGATCTACTGGACTGCATTCAGATGGACGTGAAAGACAAAGGGTACAAAATCTCCTTACATGCTCACGTTGCTGAAAAAGGGTTTCGCTTCAAATCCCAGGATTTCTTCCACATAATCCAGTTCACCTGGTGGTAGCAAAGTGCCTTTCTTGATGCAGAATGGAAGAAACCAATTATCAAAACAAATGAACTTGGGCTGTGGAGACTAAACCCTGGACTACTGGAGGGACAGGAAGAAACGCGTGGGCCCAGAAATGTCTCTTCTTTGGTTGTTTGCCAAATTAAAGAACATTTGAGAGCCACTGTTTTGTTGGGCATTAACGGTTAACTGTACAGTTTTCAAGGTATGTGTTCTGAAATGGGAGCCAGACCTGAAGTTGAGCAAACTGCACTCAACCTAAGAGAAATGAATATGCCCAAATGTGTCTTGTGGACATGGAAAGTTGGTCTCTCACTAGAAACAGAAACAAATTACTACCTCAGAGTCCAGACTTGCTAGTACAGTTAGGAGCAGCACATGGACATGTCTCCTACTCTGCCTTATTTTGAGTCATAAATACTGAGAGCTACAGAACCCATTCACCCTAACCTGCTGTCCTCAGAGCCTTCTCCTCACTGAATACTTCTCATAAGTTAGGATCTGTTATACGGGGTGCAGCAGTCTGGTCCACAGATTTATTCTAGGTAAAGACAGACAGTGTTCTGTCTATAAAGCACACAGACTAACCTTTAAATGCTAGCTCACATCTGCAATGTTGGAAAAGAAAAACCATCTTTGAAAAGCAACAGATCAGATTTTGAAGTATTGTTGAGAGAAAAGAGGGGAATACATAAGATCTTTCTTCTGATTAATACTTCACTGTTTCTCATGTATTGCCAGGCATGACCTTCTCTGATGGAAAAAAATCACATATGCACCATTTCAAGTGGAATCCCTGAAAGCTGTGTAAATACATGCTCAACTTAGATTTGGATCTTTAATGATCTTATGATCTTATGATAATATCTTTTACGGCCCCTTCCAACTGGGGATATCCTATGATTCTACAATTTTATGAAGAAGAGGTAAAAATCACTGATGAGATGTAACCTAAAGAAACATACTCCTCTCTCATGTCACCCTATTTCAATCTTTCATCCTGTGCCATTCACTGTTATCACAACACTATTTTTAAATGTATAAGCTTAGGGAAACCCCCCTGTGATTTGACTGGAAGGAAATGCTACTGAAGTGAAAGCCTGGGACCCCAGTGGCTATTCTAAACAGAACATCAGTTGTTTCCTAAATTGTGTTTAAAAAATCTGAGTATTCCAAAGTTGGTATTTTGTTTGTTTGTTTTGTATCTTTTTTCTGAAGACGGCCATTAAGATGGTTTTAATAACTCTGAGATATTCAGAAGTCATCACGGTTAATTTGATTATGGATGTATTTCCTCTACAATGCTCTCAAATGGTCAGATCTTTGGGTGGTGCTGTGTGGAACCAGGAGTTGGACTCAATGATCCGTATGGGCCCCTTCCTGCTCGGAATATTCTATGTTTCTCTGATTTTTTAGTGATACTGGTGACAAGTTGAAAAGCTTTATACTCCAATCCCTTCACAGATCACTGTATCCCTAAAATGTCCACATGCAGCTATCCCTGGCTATGTTACATGCTGTATTTCTAACTGCCTCGAGACAGAGACCTGTCATAGAGGCTCTTTGGTGCTGCTGCTTCTTTCCCCTCTCCTTGAAGGAGACACACTTGAAGGCTGCATTATGTGTTTGGCTGTGTCCAATGCAAAGCTTGCCTTTAATGTCCCAGAGACACACAAGGTCAGGCTGGACGGGGCTGTGAGTAACCTGGTGGAGCTGTAGGTGTCCCTGTTCACTGCAGGGGAGTTGGACCAGATGATCTTTAGAGGAGCTGGGAGTGTTTGGGGGTCACTGCTGCTGGAGGTGCTCAGGTGGGATGTGGCACTGAGGGATGTGGTCAGTGGGCATGGAGGGCAGGGTTGGGGGTGGGCTTGGGGATCTTAAAGGTGATTTCTATCCTTAATGGTTCTATGACACGATGAAGAATTTTGTCACAACTGAGAAGAGGAGGGATGGCTCTTCTCTGTGTGTCCGTGTGGTTTTGCGTTATCTTTTA